TTAGGGTTAGGGTTTAGGGTTAGGGTTAGGGTTAGGGGTTAGGGGGTTAGGGGTTAGAGTTAGGGTTAGGGTTACGGTTAGTGTTAGGGGTTAGGGTTAGGGTTAGGGTTAGGGTCAGGGGTTAGAGTTAGGGTTAGGGTTAGATGTCGTCCTGTGAGGCTGAAGAATAATCGGAAGTTTCGGTTGTTGTGATGTGGCGCTATAGAAATAAAGAAGAAGTGAATTTAATTGAACTGAACTGAATTGAACTGAATTGAACTGAATTTAACTGAATTATCCTTTGTCTCCGGCTCCGTTTTTTTCTCTCCTGTGGGCAGATAAGAACGTGGAGCAGGACCTCCAGAGCCACCTGAAGGCCGTGATCTCTGCCCAGGAGAAGCTCCAGCAGCAGCTGAGGACGGAGACGAGCGGGAGGAGGAACCTGGAGGTCCTTCTGAAGCAGCAGCAGGAGAACCACGGAAACCTGCAGAGGAAGAACAGCCAGATCCTCACCAACAGCAACCTGCTGGCCGAGGAGATCCGCAAGCTCAAGCTGAGCCAGAGCCAGCAGCAGATTAGCGGCCAGGCTCTGGTTAAAGAGCTGGAGCAGGTTAAATCTTCCAGGGACCAGCTCCAGAAGGACCGGGACAGCCTGAGTAAGGCCCAGAAAAGCCTCCAGGAGCAGTACGAAGCGGCTAAGGGACGCCGCCAGCAGCTAATGGCCGCCGTCGACGCCCTGACCCGGGACCGGGACAACCTCCAGAACCGGTACGGTACAGGTTTGATCCTGGTCAGACCGCCAGGAGAGTGCTAGTTCTTACGCTGGTATTCTCCGAACCGTTTCCACTATTAACTCATTGGCTGCCAAAGACGTTTATAGCATTGTTTTTCAACCACTGTGCCTCGGCACACTAGTGTGTATTTGAATTGGCGTCTATAGACGTCTTTGGCAGCCAATGAGTTAACTACCGCTAACTACCAGCCTCAGATTAATGATTGATTTTACGTTCACTTAAATTAGACATATTATACCCTATTTCAACAAGTAATAAATAATACCCTATTTGAACAAGTTAACCTAGTTCCCTGGTGTCCTAATGTAATGTCTGTGACAAGCTTTGGTCAAAATCTTTGGCAGCCAATGAGTTAAGCATTTTAAAGCAATTTCTTATACAATTCAATTAGGTCAATTCAAATACAACCGTTGACTGCCAAAGACGTCTATAGAGGTCTTTTATGTGTTTTAACGAGAGTGTCTGGGGGACGATCTGCTAAAGCTTGTCCGTAAATATGGGCTTCTAGACAGAGTATGTAGTAACAAATTGAGCCTCTAGGGGGCAGTGCCACTTTTGATGGGAGATGAGCATAGACTGTAGGCAAATAAGAAAAAGGGAACGGTTCTATGAGAGAACATGTCGCCGGTGAGACGCAAGTCCAGGAAGAACGGAATAAGGTAGAAACACATTTTTTTTCCTGATGAAAGAAGAGAGTCTACTCTTTCTTTTGGTGTGTTCGGTGTTTACATAGTCATAGCACAAACTATTCTGTGGCTCTTGAAAAATCAGTCAAAATGCTCAAAAAACTGGCAGTATGGGACTCTGTTCTGAAAATGGCTGGCAGTCAATGAGTTAATGTCCATGTAATTGAAATAAATCCACTCCACAGCGTCTTGAAATGAATCTGAAATTTAGTGTTCTTCTTAAAGTTTACAAAACGTAAAAAATATCCTATAATCAAAAGGACAAGCTTTAGCAGATCGTCCCCCAGACACTCTCGTTAAAAACACAAAAGACGTCTATAGACGTCTTTGGCAGCCAATGAGTTAATCATTTCTAAGCAATTTCTATTCATTTAAACTAAAAACCCCCTTTGGCCGCTGCAGGTACAACAACGCGAGCCGTGCGCGGGACCAGCTTCAGGGCAGCTACAGCCGGCTGGTTCAGCGCGTGGAGCAGCTCCAGGACAGCCACAACCTCTCCACCACCCAGAGGGAAAAGATGGCCAGCAGCCAGCAGAACCTCACCCAGGAGCTCCGGTCCCTGGAGGCCACCTGCGGTATCCTCAGGGCCGCCCAGGACCAGCTCCAGAAGTCCTACAACGCCCTGTTAGGGGAGAAACGGCAGCTGGAGGCGGAGCTCCAGAACGCCACGGCGACCGGAGGCCAGTGGAGGAAGGAGAGGGACGGGCTGCTGGAGACCGTGGGCAGGCTGAACGCCACCATCCAGGGTAAAATGCTTCTGTTTCTGCATTTAGACGCTTTTATCCAGAGCCACTTACAGAGTAGACACAATCCTACAGTCATCATCAATATGACAATAGGTCTGGAAGGATTCAGGATAGGAGATAGGCCTGTGGAGAGGGTTAAGAGTCTTTAAAAACAATAAGAAAAGTAAAATAAAAGAGTCAGTGGACTCCTGGAGACAGGAGGAGAGAGGAGTAGAGGGTCCAGAGGTCTGGTAGGTCTTGGAACAACACATGAAAACAGTCTGGGGGTCAAAGGTCACTCAACTGGGAGTAACACCACCATCCAGGGTGAGACGGGGAAGCTGGGCCCCGAATGTTTCTGTTTCTGTTTCTGCATTTAGACCCTTTTATCCAGAGCCACTTACAAAGTAGACACAATCCTACAGTTATCATCAACATGAAAATAAGTTCTTTAGAGGAAAATCTCGACCTTGAGACTCTCAGGCTTCAGAAATCATAGAAAAAATAAATAAGTTAGTTTAACATTGGCGTAATATACGTAAGTTAGATATAAACAATAACAAAAATAAATATAAAATATAAAAAATTACAAAAAATAAATAAGATAAGTTAGTTTAACATTGGCGTAATATACGTAAGTTAGATGAAACAATAACAAAAATAAATATAAAATATAAAAAATTACTAAAAATAAATGAGATAAGTTAGTTTAAAGTTGAAGTAATGTAAGTTAGATAAAAACAATAAGAAAAAATAAAACAAAAGAGTCAGTGGACTCTTGGAGTTTAGACGCTCTTATCCAGAGCCAGTTACAAAGTAGACACAATCCTATAGTCATCATCAACATGACGATAAGTTCTCTAGAGGAAAATCTGTAGTAGGGTTAAGAGTCTTTAAGAGTTTCCTAAAGATAGAAAAGGACGCCTGGTAGGTCGTTCCACCTTCTTGGAACAACACATGAAAACAGTCTGGGGGTCAAAGGGGTAACTGGGTGTAACCGGAGGTAACCAGTGGTAACCAGTGGTAACCGGTGGTAACCAGGGGTAAACAAGGGTAACTGGGGTAACCGGGGTAACTGGAGGTAACTGGAGGTAACCGAGGGTAACGGGGGGTAACCAGGGGTAACCAGAGGTAACCACGGGAAAACCGGGGGCAACCAGGTTAACCGGGGGTAATTAGGGGTAACCGGAGGTAACCAGGGATAACTGAGGATAATCAAAGGTAACTAGGGGTAACTGAGTGTAACCGGAGGTAACCAGGGGTAACCGGGGGTAACAAGGGATAACTGAGGATAGTCAGAGGTAACCAGGGGTAACCAGTGGTAACTAGGGGTAACTGGGGGTAACCAGTGGTAACTAAGGGTAACCAGTGGTAACTAAGGGTAACTGGGGGTAACCAGGGGTAACCGGGGGTAACCACGGAATAACCGGGGGTAACTGGGGATAGTCAGAGGTAACCAGGGGTAACAAGGGGTAACGGGGAGTAACCAGGGGTAACCAGGTGTAACTGGAGGTAACTGGAGGTAACCAGTAAAGCTCAGAGATCAGAGGGGGGACGTGAGACTTTTTTGGCTGATTTAAGAGCAGAAGTTCTGCATCAGTTGAGACGGTTTGACCTCAAACGGACTCTGTCCAATCCCCCGTCTCCGTCCACAGCCAGGAAGTGCCCGTCGGGATGGAGGAAGTTCGAGAACAGCTGCTACTATGCCTCTTCGACCAAGAAAAACTGGAACCTGAGCCGGGACAACTGTAAGAACAAAGGAGCCGACCTGGTGGTCATCAACAGCCTGGAGGAGATGGTGAGTTTAATATTAGATAGTTTCCATTTCTGTCCACAGACGTCTCACAATGTCCACTTTTATGGCAGAAAACCCCATGAGGGGTGGGACTGCTTTACTGTGAACCAGCGGTTATTAAATAACCATCGGATTAGATTATTTTTAATAAGAGTTAATTAACAGTAACAACAATTATTACCAATATTATCAAATACTTTGAATTATTAATAATTTTATTATACATGATATGATGACACTATTGGTAGCGTGAGCGTTAACATGGTAGCGTTAGCATGGTAGCGTTAGCATGGTAGCGTTAGCATGGTAGCGTGAACGTTAACATGGTAGCGTTAACATCGTAGCGTTAGCATGGTAGCGTTAGCATGGTAGCGTTAGCGTGCCGACGTGGGCACACCTCCCTGAAGAAGTGGGTGGATTGCCTGTGTCTCATTTGCATTTAAAGAGACAGGCACTCCAAAGCGAGCGCTCTGAACGGGGCTGTTTTGGGTTAGGGTTAGGGTTAGGGTTAGGGTTAGGGTTAGGGTTAGGCAGGGGGACTGAACTGCTATTGGGCTTCATCCTTATGGGATTCTGACCAAAGCTTGTCACAAACATTACATTAGGACACCAGGGAGCTAGCTTAACTTGTTGAAATAGGGTATAATATGACTCCTTCAAATGTGTGGTTGGAACAGCTCACATCCAATTAAAATGGACTTTAATTGAGAGGGGGTGTGAAGGGAGGTGGACTGTTTGCTATCCAGGAACCAGGATCCAATTTTTTGTCCGGCATTCCTGCAGATCTCAGCTCAAAACAAGCAAAACCTTTATGGGATTTTGACCAAAGCTTGTCACAGACATTACATTAGGACACCAGGGAGCTAGCTTAACTTGTTGAAATAGGGTATAATATGTCTCCTTTAATGCTGAGCCTCTTCTTCCTCGCAGACCTTCGTGAACGGCCTGTACAGCAGCGATAAGGAGGTGTGGATCGGGCTTTCCGACGGGGGCCTGGAGGGCCAGTGGACCTGGGTGGACGGGACACCTCTCACCTTAACGTAAGCAGATCCACATTCAGGACACAGCAGAGCCTCTAGAGATGATCTAACCGGTCCCAGGACCCACTTCTGTGTTAAATATTGGGATGTTGGTTCAAATCTTCCATCAGAATACTCTGTAATTCCTAGAATTGGTTCCACAGCCCAAAAACATCTGAACATAGAATAGAATAGAACACTTTATTGGTCCGACAGTGGAAAAAAAGGGGAAAAAACAGTGGAGGCATAAATAAATAAAGGTTATTTACAATGCAACAAAATAAATAAAGGTAAATTACAAGTGAAGTTATTTAAATATAATAATATGATTATTAAAATATCAAAATGAGTTATCATATCACAGAGTCTAACTGGTTCCAGGAGCGACTTCTGTGTTAAATATTGG